AGCAATATCTCAACGTATGGCCCTTCACAGTGTCTACCTGTTCGGCTGCTCTTCTGCTACCTAGCAACCTGATATTGATGCTTGATCTAGTGCTTAATGTTCGCCGTTGATGCACATGAATTAATGAAACTATGGCTAGACCCTTTCTTCGATGTGTGTGGCTCAAAAAGTCAAAACCCATGATGAGGAATTAGCGAAGGAATTTTGGTCACCATTGCCATAACCCGTAGGAAAACAACATCAACAGTTTTTTAAGTCTGATGTTCATCTCCATTCTTACTTCATGGGTCTGCTGCAAAGAGTTTTGTATTAATATGAATATCAACATCGCTTTTTCTGTTATAAAATGCAAATGGGCGTTAAGCCTTTCGCCAAACCTCTCCTGTGATTGGCTTGCGAAACCAATCAACCAATCGCCTCCTAGAGAGTTGTGGATACTAGCCAATTCCCACTTAGGTGAGCCACGCCCACTGTACGCGACCCGCCCATCTGGTAACCCTTTTCCATTAGCGAAAAACAACTTGTTACAAAATATGAGGCAGAGTTACTGACCCAACCGAGAAGGATTAAGAGTTGTGGATAAACTAGTAGAGGCAATCGATTGGGCTTACATCAACTAGAAATTTATTTTTTATTTTTGATAAAGCTCCGTCTGTTTTCGAGTTACATCAAGGTCGGCAAAACCGTACGCCAGAACTTACTTTCACACGATCCACCATCATTTTCATATAAACGTGACAACGTGGATAATCTCCAGAGTTTTCCATGTATCCTCATTTAATAAGACGAATTTCAAAGAGATAACTCGGTAGAGGGCAGGCACTTTCCTGTTTAAAAGTGATGGTTCATTCTTGTCACTGTGCTCATCATCGTATTTATCCTTTCCATACTAATTTTAATCACTCACTAAGACGTACTAGTACAATCAATTTTTTCTTGCTTTTATTGATTACTGGGAAATTGTTATCATGCGTTGTTAGGCTCATCAATTTTCAATTTCAGAAAAACCTACCAGGGTTGGGCTGAGGCTCTCGAAGTGGTTGAGCGTTAGAGAGTCAGTTTCTATTAGACCAGAAATTCAGCAGATTTGGAGCCAGACTAAGGACAGCTACAAGATCCAAAAACTCATACTGCTTGGACAAGTATGTAGTTTGTTAGGTTCATACCCTAGGTTAACATTTTTATTATTTTCGATGTTTCTTTTCCAGCGAATCACTAATTTTTTTTCAGATTCTCATATGTAAAATCTAACCCCAAAACGATACAGGAACCAAAATTCAAATAAACACTATTGTTTTCTATAGAACAACTCATGTCTAATTCTGAAAGCGCTTTCTGAAGGTCGCTCAGACAAAGATAAAAAGCTAGTACAAACGTTTACATGTGCATTTTGTGGCTTTCTTCTTGGGAAAAAAAGTGCCTGCAAAGAAAAAGAATTTACAATTTATTTGTGTTTTTGCCTGACGCATTGGTGTTGGGAAACTATTAGGTTGGTCCGAAAGTTCTGTCCCACCATTTTCACAAAATTATGACTTCCTCCTAACATGATGATTTTGCACGGCTAGAATCTTACTGAAAAGAGCAATTCATGCGCTTTCTAGAAACATCTTGATTGCTATCTATTAAGCTCGCAGTGCAGAGATAAAATTGGAAAAAGGAGATCACTTCAATTTCGGAATTTTTAAGCAAACCCGTTAAAAAATCTAAAACTGTGCCATAAAATCCAAGACAGGCAGTAACCTAGGTCTTCTGATTTCCTTTTTCTATGTGAGCAAAATTCGCGCTGTTTAAGCTCTTCCTAGAAAAGTTATGATTTTCAAGAAAAAAGGCCAAAAAATCAGTTTCTTAAGAAAATTGATTTTTTGACATTTTTTTCAAAAAATCATAACTTTCAAAATAACAGCTCGATCAGCACAAATTTCGCTCAGCTAAAAAGAGAGGATCAGAAAACCTAGATTACTGGCTGTCTTGGATTTTATGGCACAGTTACAGTTTTTTTAACGGGCTTGCTTAAAAATTCGGAACTTGAAGTGATTTCCTTTTCCCAATTTTATCTCTGCACTCAGAGCTTAGTAGATAGCAGCCAAGGTAATTTTAGAAAGTGCATGAATTGCTCTTTCCAAAAAGGTTTTAGCCATGCAGAAATATCATGTTGAGAGGAAGTTATGATTTTTTGAAAATGGTGGGACAGAACTTTCGGACCAACCTAATAATTCAGGACAATGTTGAAATAAAATCTTGCAGTGTAACATGGTAGCTGTCTGCAGCCATTTTAATGACGATACATATTGTGTGTTTAATGACAGTACCGAATATGTTACATTCTCTGTTTAGTAATTTGGCGACTATTCAACACAGGAATGATTGATATCAAAAATTTGTCGAAACCAGATTTCTTCGTAGTATGTAGTAAAAGATAAAGTTGATAGATGCATATTTTTACTGCCCTTCGCTGAGGTAGTATTTATACCGCATTAGTAAATGATCACGAAAATAATGTACAAAAGTACTTTAAACATTTATAAATATAGAGATGTAGCAGTCGCAAACGTGAGATATGAAAAAGCTTTTTTTTCTGAATTAATATGCGCAAACTTATTGAGAAATTGCGAAAGTTATTATTGCCAGCTTGCAGGAATACGTACACGTGCTTTGACGATATTTACCAAACTTTCCCGTTTCGATAGCACCTTATATTCCAGTAGCCGTGATCACCGTCGGTCTTGCATGGGCAGTTTCGCAATTCATCTACCGGTTGTAGCTGACAAGGGAAGTCACTTAACTTAGGTCGGGCTTCTGGAATGAGACACATATATTTAGAATCAGCTCGGAACGCTGATTCCAAATATGCTATCCCTAGCTGCGAAGCGTTTCTCTGAAGCCAGTTATGAGCTTTTTTATTATGTGTCATTGACATACAACTGAATATGGAACGAAGGTCTTTGGATGAAAATCTGCCCAAAAAAGTGATGGAAAATCAAAATAACAACAAATTGAGTCATTTGGCTTTGATAGGGTATAATATGCATTTGATCCACTACCTAGATGATGATACCGTTGCATGCCTAAGTCGGTCAACACGCAAAATTTGCTCAGGAAAAAGCTCATAACTCGCTTCAGAGGAACGCTTCGCAGCTAAGGAAAGCAGATTTGAAATCAGCGTTTCAAGCTGATTCCAACCATATGTGTCTCATTTCAAAAGCCCGACCTAAGTTAAGTGACTTTCCTTGTGAGTAGGAACGTTTTGTCCTCCATTTTTATATCATAAGTTCGTAATTTATCGCTTTCTCTTTTACTGTTCTATAAAGTTTATGGGTTTATGGCGTACTCTCCCAAACTAAAAACGCTTTTGCTGAGTGGTCTTTTCTATGACTAGTCATGCTTTAAGAAAAAGCAATACATGAGAACAAAATTCGTTTTTGGCCAAAATTGGCCGGGTCATGTTTTACTGACTGTTTCGGATTTTATTGCAAAGTACATTCAATATCAGACTCTTCCAGTTCTTCATAAACAGCGAAAATACAGATTTGTCGAGAAGATGAAAGGCAGTTTCCCAAAATTACCTAAATCATATACAGTTTGCATCAGCAGTTGGAGTAATGAAAAAAAACAATTTGAATTCTAAGCGTGCTAATAAAAGTGAATAACAATCTTGGTTATGGCTCACAATAGGAGATAACACTTAATTAAGTATGCATAGTTTGGGGAAAGTTGAACATTCAAATATTCCAATAGTACTTTCGTTATATTTACAGAAGCCTGTTGATTTGCAATTTCTCTGCGTAAAATGGTTGACCACTTTTTGAAACTGACATTACCGATACTTAGGTACTAATAAAAATGCCTCGCTCTACGTAAAACATCGAAAAAAGACTTCTGATTGCTAATCTAGGAATTTTGCACGGATATTTTTCCGATGTTTCACGCTTCCTAAGGATAGCAAACAATTAGAGCGCATTCGCTCCAGAGCACAATCAGCGTCGGAAACAGCGCTGGAAGCTTGCTGTCACATATCAAAATGTTGCTAGATTTGCTTTTGCAATGCTTCATTTCTAAATCTGCCTTGAATGCTACAATTTTTCTGGGCTAAACTCTTGGCTATGAAAATGGAGAAATAAGAAATTTTCTCTTTGACTGTGCAAATTCTGAATGCTGTCACGCGATGTGCGGAAGTGGTTTCCGCAAGCGGAACCACAAAGCAGCTCATCGTAGTCAGATGATCGACTTTCTTCAGCTACTTACTTGACGAGTCTATTTTGTACTCTTTCGAGCAAATTTCGAGATTCTTTGTTTCAATTTTTCTCAATTTGCACCGCGGTCATGTTTTCATGCTTCAATAAGCTCCAATGATCTGACAACAAATTTACCGCTTAAAAAAGTGAGAAGCTCTTGTTTTGCAAGTGTCTGCCAAGTTTTTCAAACCTAATTCTGATTGGAGTTACACATGAAATGCTTCAATCTTGAGAACTAATATTGCATTTTTTCAGCAAAATTTACATCCTAACACTGCTGCCCAAGTGTAGTGATTTTTGAAAAAGGATAAATACACAAACAAGACCTTCATCAAGTTCCCAGCTTTCTTCTGACTTCTTTCACATGTTTGAGAAATCACTATAAAACCTCGATAATGAATGTAGATCTTGATGAAATGAACAATCCAGCCTGATCTAGTCATTTCGGGAAAATAAAGGGTTGTTACGGTCCTGGTAGTGAAGCTAATATAAAATCACAGAGGATTATTATATCATACCATAAGCCTACAGTATCGTCATGGATTACGTTTATATTGTAAGATTTCCGCAAATCCCGCGAGAATACTCGTATTCCATTGTCGTAAGGCTTCCTCATTACCCATGAATGCGATGAATCCAAAGACGGTAAAATAAAATGCAAATTCATTTTTTGAACAAAATCTCTACTAGAAGTAACTATCTTCATTTTTTTACTACAAGGGTTTCCAGTTCTAGAAAACCATTACTTAAAAGTTGATTTACAGAATAATGGAGGAGCTAATGGCAACTCCGACTATCAAATCTGGAAATGTGCTAGCTCTGCTTAACACTCTATACACTTCCGGATTCGCTTCAGCATCACCCAGTACACCAATGTTAAAAGGTTTGTTTATTTGGACCAACCGTGTCAGCACCGTGCTGGAACGCTGATCGATCAATATGAAGCGCTTTGCGTGGGTTTCGGCACGATCCTGGCACGGCGCTGGCATGCGGCACAAGAGCATCGTTCGCTGCCTAAGAATTGATTCAATGTCAATTTTAGGTAGAACTATGCACACCTTATATGCGGTCTCTTTCATCGTATATGTATGTAATTGTATGTGTGATTGGTTCCATGTCTGGGCCACATTGAGGGTAAGCTCCTAAAATTCATCCAAACCGCCATTTCTTGATTGGACCATGAGTCATGAGACGCACGGATCTCCTCAGTAATTTGGAAACAGTCGGCTGTATGTTAAGGTTTTAGTAGTTGAATGGTGCCTCTTCCAGCCATAATTTTACTCTTCTGCATCACCCCTGATCTCTGCGTCTCTGCCAGACTTTCACGCAGATGTCCGCAATTACGCCCAGTCCGTGCGTCATGTGACTTACTCAAAAAGCTAAACTACACTTACCCATTCGAAGTTTTCCAATTGTTCTATTCTCAAAAAGTTCTTCAAGGGTTTGGTGACCTCATTTCCGCTAGAGAATTGGCTTGTCGTTTCATTGGTAGTGACAGTAGTAGCAGGAACAATGCTGACATGGTTGCTTTTGGTAAGCTTTATCTTACTTTGAACTTGTTGTTGTAAATATTATTATTCTAAGGTTTTATGCATGGAAAATGCATTTGCTCATAGACTTGATGTAAAACCCTATCGCAGTGGATTTACGTTGATCTGGGAAGCGTTTGTTGAGTGGGTACAGGTAAGTACAGTCTTGACATTTTTGATTATTTTATTAACACTAATAATCCATTTCAGGCTTTTAACAATTTTCGTGTAGCATTTTTGGTAATGTTACTCCACGACACACCAATAACACTTCTCAACTTTTTCTTCATAGCATCTTGTCGATGTGCTGGGCCAAAGGTGAACCACATTTCCGATTTTCCCACATCAACTGTGCTTTTCATGGCCTGCTATAATTCCTTTTGAAATTTATAGACCTCGGATCATTCTGGTAATATAACTGTTAATCACTTTCTTTATATGTTGTTCAATCTCTCGTTCTTCTTTCTCTCCTAATCCTTTCTGTTTTTGCCCAACTGAGTTCAAAAACGTCTGTGTATAGTTTCGACTCCAGAACTGTTGCAGTTCTGGAGTCGAAACTAAGTCTGAAACTGGAGTCTGACAAGAAACATTAAAAAAAGACTATCCTAATAATCTCAGTACATGAATAAGTTCAACAAATGTAAAATCAAAAGGCTGACTAAGGGCTAATTTTCCAAGAATTTAGTCGAACTCAGCCATTGGTTATTCGAAACAGCAGGCTAGTCATATCGCCCTGTGTCTTATCTGAACTGATGTTGTCTAAACCAAAGTTTTCTCATTTACGGACTAAGACATCACTGTTTTCAATCGCAAATGATTTGAAGCTCTAGAAAAGCTCTTATAGTAATTCTTATCATTTTTTGAAAGTGGATACACAAGCAATCAAAGTGCGGAAGAAGTTTCTTTCTACATAGTAATCAAAATAATGAAAATCGAGAAACGATTAGCTTTTTTAAAATGATACCCCGAGATTTTTGGGGAATGGCACTTTTAGGTTTCGTATCTGCAAAAGTTTCTCTCTCCCTCTGTCTTGAAATAATTTAAAAAAAGAAAAATTAAAAAGTAGATAAAAAGAAAAAATAAAAAATAATTTAATCAGTAATGATTAATTATTTTCTACCATGAGTGGAAATCTTTTCTCTGTTGCTTGTCATTAGACCACAAAAGTCCCATCTCTAGCTACAGACTCGTTAAAAAATTAGGTAGCGTTCTATCAATTCTTTTCTTGAAGACCTTCAGTCAAGCTCACATTCTCCACTCTACCGAAACGAGATCTGTGATCTAATTGCGTTCAGTTGAGGTGCTGCCATGGTCTCTTTTATTGTCTACGCTATCATCATTAGTATCACTTATTTGGAGAATTACCATGCTATACTTTTCGTACAGGTAAATTTTTTCTTTCCTTTTTCAGTAGTGTAAGCTCTAATTTAGGCGAATGTTATGTCCTCTGAATCCAAAAGCTACCGTGAATGTTGCTCGCTATCCCAAATTTAAGGAACATCTGGCTTGGGCTGCGGACTACAGGTAGGTCAGAACCAGAAATTCTGAGAAAAAATTTCTAAAAGAAAAAACTCATAATGTTTTTATTTGTAGAGGAGAAGGAGCGCGTTTACAAGAATATGATGAGTGCTGGCCTGTGCGATGGGCACGATATTTTATGTATGGCTCGGAAGGGACTATATCTACGTTACCGGTAAGAGCCTAAAATTCGACGCAGAAAAAAAGTGTTCTTGATTGCCGACAGCAATTGCGCGTAGACAATATGAAGGTTGATTTTTGACGCGCATTTCACGAGCAAGATGTTGGTATTCACAACTTTGGCATTTGTTCTTGCACAAATGTAATGTTGTTGTCAATACTAAGGCATTGTGATAAGCGTCAGACCTAATAGATAGACTATATGACTCTGTGGCCCATTTTGAGCCATGAATTTCAGGGTCCAGGCAGTAGTGATGAGTTATACGATAAATGGGAGCCTCCATCATTGCTTACTACACTACCAGTTATTGGAACCGTAAGATTTGAATTTCCTATAGAACTTGAAGAAGTGAAGCAAGCAGTCATGCTACCGTAATCTGGGAGCTTGAAAATTAGGTTTTTACATAAGTTTTGTTGCGTTTAACGAAAAAATCCCCTTGCTTTCCCAAAAGATATACTCCTCATTTCCAAATTATGTGGAATGATGTGAATTTTTGACATGCGCATGACACACGTAAAGAATACAATTTTTGGGGTTTTTCCGAATTATTTTCGCAACTTTCCAGTTTACGATATTGAAAAGCTTAAGTTAGGAGCTGCCTTCGATATGCTACTGACTCCCGAAATCCACAAAAAATTCTGAAAAAATGAGAAAGAATCATGGGAGAATAAAGAAACAAAGAAAAATGGAGGTTAAAGTGCCGGAAATGTGCATTTATATTTACATTTTACTGTAACTCATGTTAGCGGAAGCGAATGTGATATTATTAGATAACCCGTTCTTCCTTACCTTTATGTGCGAAGAGACTTTTCCGAATTATTAGGTCGTCCCGAAAGTTCTTTCGCACCAAATTCAAAAATTCATAACTTCTGATTTTTCCAACCGATATGACTGCCTTTATTTTTGTGAGAAGGAGTAAGTCATGCTTTTTATAATGACATCTTAGCTGCTTACTAATGATCATCTGTTGATAAATAGGAGCGATAGAAAAAATTAGTCAAAATTCGAATTTTCTGTGTAGGGTCATGAAAAATCGGAAACTTGCAACAAAAATCGGAGCGGTCGGTATTGTAGGTCCTTTCACCAGCCCTTTCTAACAGCGCAAAGTTCGCGCTGATTGAGCGTCTCTATGAAAAGTTATGATTTTCGAGCAAGCAATACAAAAGGGCGAATTTGATTTATTTTGGGATTTTTCAGGGAAATCGTAATTTTTCATAGAAATGCTCAATTGGCACAAACTTTGCATAGTTAGAAAGAGCTGGTGTACTTACTGCCCCGATTTTTTGTGCAAGTTTCCGATTTTTTATGACCCTACACAGAAAATTCGAATTTTGACTAATTTTCTTCTACCGCTCCTACCTATGCAACATATGATCATTAGCAAGCAGCTAAGATGTCATTATAAAGAGCATGACTTACTCTTTCATACAAATATAAAGGCAGTCAAATCGGTTGGAAAAATCAGAAGTTAAATTTTTGAATTTGGTGCGAAAGAACTTTCGGGACGACCTAATAATTAGAGTTTCGCAGAATACGACAAAGCAAATAAACAAACTTATGTGACAACCTGATGTTAGTACAGACCTTCAATGAGAGCGAAGAAACACCCCGCAATTATTTTACTGCCTTTCAGGTTTATGATAGCTTACTGTAAACAGCGTTGTTTTTCCTAGCTTAAATTTTGGTACTTTTTCGTTATTCGGACCCATTTTTACAAAAAGCTCTCATAAAATACGTTCTTCAGTCTAAAAACAGTTTTTCATGGATTCTACGAAGACTACCTCCCCGCAACGTGTCAGGAAAAAAATTAACACGTTCTAGTCCATTTTGACTTGTTCTTCGAAATCATTACCGATGAGGCAAAAGAGCATTTGTAATCACCTAAAAGCCTTTTAACTGGTTTCTATAAGAGCAATACCGTCCAGATCTTGTCACAGAACATCTTGATTGCTTTAGCATTAATTTAGAAATTGCCTTGCTAGATAGTGCAACACAAACCCTTGGTAAAACCTGTTAAACATGTAGATGGCATGTCAAATTTTTTTGACACGTGGCAAAATTTTGACACTTCTTCCTGTGAACTTGGAACCAAATATGGTACAAGGTCAGAAGAAATATCCTTCTTCAAAAATATGGGTCCGGATAACGAAAAAGCACCTAAATTTTTTATTCAAATTAACACGGTATCCCAGGTAATTTTTGGATTTAGATCGTTTCTTTCCTGAAGAGAGCGGTGAAATTTGTCGCATGTGTGTTGCTTGCATTTGTCGCCTATACAGTCTTTGTACTGCTATGCTGCGCACCATGCTGTTCGCACTACACTTGTCGACATCACAGCTATTATCATCGCCACAAATGTTCTCGAACTTTCGTCAGGTACGTGGAAAAATCTTCAAAATCTAACAGAGGTTCTTATCGGTTTTTTTAGATATTGTTCGAACATTTTCCACTATTCTGTTTTCCTTCTTTCTTTGATAGCAGCTACTATGCTTATTGTTCTCAATATGACACTTCTGACATCTGTACATGTAATCGGTTCGAATATGATCCCGCCAGAAATTGATCGGGTACGTTTTCTTAACCTCAAAGGCACTGTCATAGAAAATCTGCGTTCCAAGATTTGAATGTGCTATTGGATCATTTCATATAATCATGTATACGTTGCACATACCGTCCATATTTGGTAGCCCTATCCGCCTCTGCAATCTCAGAAACGCTAGAGGCTATCCTTGTTACCGCTTGTAGCACTTTGAGGAGATTGGTAACTAAAATGAACGGTGTCTGCTCCAAAAATTCCGGATAGGAACGCTAATGATGCACAGCGTGTGCAATGACACACATGATCATACGAAATGACTTTACTGTAAAATTAATTGAGAAGGGTTAACTAAGCTATTGCCCATGGCAGCCCATATAAATTTATGGTGGAGAGATTCGATTTTAAACTCGCTAGAGAGAATTCTGCCGAGCGGACCAATCAGCGTACCGCGCACTAATCGAAAGCTCTCATTGGTCCGTTTAGAAAGATTACGGTGCTGCGCGGGAGCTTGGTGAGATTTCTATACCACTGATGAGTCACATGAGCGGCATTTTGAAAAATATCTTGGTTTATCTTGCAGTGACTTTCAACTGAAGATACGTACACAGATGCACAGAATTTGCATGAACATTGTCGTAAAAATTCTGAATAAAAAAATCTTTGCAGGTTTGTATAACACTCCTTCCAACGTCTCGTGCCATTCACGCTGCGATTTTACCATCACCCGTATTCTCTAAGAGACCTTTAGAGGAAACCGTGAACGAGTTGATTAGTTCAAGCTTGAAGCCAAATGTTCAAAGAATGTATTCAGGGTATTCTTGCCATCCGATAGTGTGGCATCGACGGTGTGTAAACCGCTCTGGGAAGATGGAGAACTCGGATTGGGGCTGCGGAGAAGCGAAGCTGGACCATGGCAGACCAGAAAACAATTTGGTGATAGACTTATTGTGAGTTCAGTTGAGAAGTGAAAATATAATGTTTTATGATAAAGAAAATTTGGGAGAAAATTCGAAGTTCAATATCTTACTATAATTAACTCAGTCCCCCTGAGACGCTGACACTGAAAGATGGTCACAAAACGTTCGCTTCCAATTCTTGCGCAACATGACCACTTTTCACGCGCAAGAATTGTCGTCACCGCAAGGACACTACCTAAATCGTCAAATCTTTGTGGTAATTGGAATATGATGGAGATAAAGGGCAATCCATTTCAGGCTGTAGCTACACAAATAATCCTGAACAACACCGCTCCTGAAGATTCTTACCTAGAACTACGATTTGATCACGCTCTGCTACTACAGCGAGGGCAAAGCCACGAACGAAAGTTTGCTTGCGCCCGAGGAGAGAAAAGTGGATGGTAAATTTAACTACCTACATTTTGGCAATTTTTAAGTACATGTAAATTTGTAGGCAATTCATCGTCTATCGCCACCACACACCTTGGCCTTACTTCACAGCTTGTCGACAAAACTGGCGGTTTTCCGAAACTCATTTAATTGAATGCTTTGAAGATAGACTACCGCTGTCAAGATTGAAATCGACAACAAGACGCCTGCATCATAGAAAACGTTCGAAAAAACTGCGACGAAAATAGTTTCCAGTACTAGTTGTTTACGGGTTTATTTACATACATGTCAAATGTCTGAATGTTTGCATCCGTATATGAACTGTTATTGACTCAAGCTCAAAAAAAATCAAAACGACTTCACGACGCGAGGCTACGTTCCCAATTTGTTCTCGGGGATATATGCAATCGCGCACCTGCTTTGAATTAACGATCTTATGGTTCGTTTTTAAAATCGTGACGACGAATCTGACTGCGGTCTTTATGCAAACAGCAGCATAAAACACCCATACAAACAGGCATCACCTCAACGCTTAGCTCAGCTACTTTCAGTGTCTAATATCACCATATATAAGCAGAAACCATTCGAGTATTGATAGAAACAAAGGAATAGGAGTGCGTGCGTGTCGCGCGCGGTCGCGCCATCGTCACGATTTTTCGAATGCCCTCTATGTGCATGGTTCAACCATATTAGTAAAGTTTCCACATAAAAATTCATTATGCAGCATTTGTTTTCTTCGTGGGATCCTCACGTAGTCCTATTCATATGGCTGTAATTCACTTATCTGCACTGCTTCAAAGCAATGCGCATAATCTATCAGGTGGGTGCAAAAGTTCGTTCGCCAGTTTCTAAAAAAGCCATAACTTCCTTTTTTCTCGATGGATTTTCTTAAAATTAACTTTCTTTAAAAGAGGACACTATGCACTTTACAGCAGTACCTCTATAATAGATTAGGATAAGAGTATTCGAGAGTTGAAGCCGAAACAGTCATAAACATGGGTCTTATGGCTTCCTCTTTCGAGCCAAGTGGAATTCGGGCCGATCGAGAGTAGGTTGATTCTCGTTCCTAAAAATTCATAACTTTTCATAGGAACAATCGATCAGCAGGAATTTTGCCTGGCTTAAAAAGACGAGATTATAGAAATATGTTTATGTTCGTTTCGTTATTTTTTGTAACATTTTTTGGATTTTTGGTGAGCTTTCTTAAAATTACCAAATTTGAGGATCGTCTCTTTGAATTTTTAGCTCTGCGACTTGTGCCAGTAGAATGCATTTGAGCTAACTACATGAACCTTCATTCCAAAAATCTCATCACAGGCAAATCCAGGCAGACAACAGAGAGATACGATTTTTCAAAAAAATGATGCGAACGAACTTTTGCGCCCATCTAAATTTTGCTGAAACGTTTCGAAACTCGATAAAAATTGGAAAGTGCAAAGGTGCTTGCAAATCACGCTTCCAAAGAGTCTGTGGGAATGAGATTTACAAAAATTGGGCGAAACAGAAGAGTGTGTTCTTATAAATTAAGAAAAAAACTCTCTCCAGCAGTCTAATCCAAGTAACAGCCAGAACTAGCGGAAGTCGTTGAGGACGGAAATAATGTAAGAGTCGAGATAACGAGAATTCTAAGAGATTTACAATTTTGGAAACTCGACCTTAATGTAAGCTACAAGTTAATGGAGCTGACAGTAATTCAATGTCCCTGCTGTGCCGAAATGGCTGACAACATTTGAGCGTGAACAAACTCCACGCCTACAATGTCAACAATTGCGCGTCAAATGGCCGTGGAATCTCATTTTCAACTAGCACGCCCCTGGCAGATCGTGCACGCGCAAATGTTGTTGGCAAATGTCGGCACCGCAGGGACACAATATCGAGCGCAGATCTACCTGTATATACTTGCGTATTGACAGCATCAGCAATTTGCAATGCCTGTGATGCCGGCAGTTTGCGAATGCGGCTGCAAAATGGCCGCATTTTCACGTTTAGTGTCCCCTGACACAGTTTTCACGCGCATATTCTATCGGCGAACGTCGGCATCATAAGAACACAACATTATTGTCAAAACTCCAAGCCTACAGCTTACATCCTTTGATGAGAGGAAATTTCAGCTTACCATTCCGGACGTGAGAAATCCGACAACAATGCTTTCCGCCTAAGCCATAGTTAGTGACAGTAGTGACAGGATTTCACATCAATCCTAAGAAAGTATGCGAAAGCCTCTGGAAAAACGTTTTACGCCTTTACGGAGGACAATCCTCAGAAGTATAAAGCTCAGCTTCCTAAAAGCACTCGAGATGTGGGAAATTGTTCAAGAATCTACGAAAGGCGTCTCTTAAATTCCTAACAGTTTATGAAAATTCAAATTATCACCTTCGAATTTTTGCCGATTCAACAATGTTTTTTAAGATTATCCATGGAGTAGACATGGTCGTACGCAAAATCGACTTATGACTTGGCAAAATATGGCGTGACCGAAAGGGGATCGGTCAAACGCACTATCGCAGTGCTGACACATAAACCCTACCATTTACATTAAAAAAAGAAAGGGGCGAAGTTCACCGTGTGCATCAAAACGTTATAACTCTCTATGTACCGCTTTTCTGCAATCACATGGAAAAAAAGTGCCAAAATATCTGACTAAGTTAGAGAACGATGTCCAGAATACAAGAACACTGTACGCACTTATTGTCGCGGATTCGCGACTTCCTTCAAAGGTCGCCGCCGCCGCCTCGCGAAGGGTCCCAAAACGCCGTCCTCGCGCTGTCCCGCCTCTCACCTCTCTCACCTGCGCAGCGTTTAAATAAGTCACGTAGTCATTCTTCGCAGCTGCCGTCACAGTGAGCGGTCGGGTTTCCAATTCGTCTCAACTATCGATCGATCCAGCGCTACCCCAACTCTCGCGTGCTTCCATCTACGCCACAGAGGACTGGCTCCCACGCTACGAGGTAACCCCGAGCGCGATCGCACCTGGCACACGCCGGCGACACCGCCTCGGGGGGTTTCCGTTATTGCCGGCCCCTAGGTAACATCTGGCTGGTTGTTGCTCATCCTGTGTGTTTGAGTGTAGGGATTTTATTGCGGATAAATGGTGGGCACTTTGCAGGTGTGATGTGTAGTGGAGCGGTGGCCACAGCACGACTGTGGCTCCGTTTATATTTCTGTCATTTGTGGTTATGTGTATTGCGTAATCATGCCTAGAGGGTAAGATTCGTAGGAAGGCTGGCACAATACTAGTTAAGTGCCACGGTTATGCATACGCGCCCCAATGGCCGATGGCTGGAGGCAGCCACGTCGCAGGTGTCGAGTCGCTACTAAGCAGGCTGGTGGCAAGGGCCCCTAAGATCGTAAGGAGTACCCACGTGGCAGGCACAACGAGCGTCTCACAGGTAGCCACCACACATTGTATGGTTCACTTATTCACGGTGCGGACCCCTGGCTCCCCTCGCCGATGCAGGAGAGCAATTATACCACTGACGTTGGGAGCTGGGGGCCCAATCCGCGACATGGTGCATCGTACCGGAGTTGAGCATAGGGATAGCAAACCTATGTTCAGCTTCTGTGATCGAGCCTCACCTGTGTAGTCCACATGTGCACGCCCTTGCACGTCAGGGTCCCTAGTTAGCAGTGCAAATTCATCCCATTTTTCCATTTCACATGTTTGCGCAGTGTACACATGCTGGTTGTACCTTGTGGCTCTTTAGAGAACTCATCTTTCGTTTCATCAGCCAGCTCCGACGCGACTAGGTTGACGCGAGTACGCGACTACCCACAGTTCCACTTAGCTGAGAGTGGGGTGATCCCGCAGACCTGGTGGCAGCAGCCATCTGCGCCCTGCCCACTGTCCGGAACTGTCTGGTGCCTTCTGGTGGCCAGGTTTCTCTGCAGCCATTGAGATGGTTCGGCTCTGTCTGCTCTGAAACACGCCATCAGGCCGACGAACGAGCCCTGTATGTTATGTCTGATGAGAGTCTCGCCCCTAAATTCATTTCTTTCCCACATGCTCGCATTGCGCACTCATTCCTCTTTCCCTCCTTTTTTTGCAATTTGTGGCTAGGCTTAGTCAGTGACGGTTCCTTGCGATCGATACTGCTTTCGTCATCGGTACTCATGCCCCATACTAACCCCCCGGAGTTTCAGTTGTTGCTTGTCGTTCATCGTTTCACGCATTTCGCTCGTGTATTGTGTTCACCATTTTTGTGTGACTACATCCGCAAGTAGTCACGCCCTCGCCAAGCATACTCATGTAGCACAATTTCAGAATTTGGGTTTGGCAGTTACTACCTCCTGCAAGCTTTCGAGTCAGTGCGCTATCGATCGATATGAACACCGTCGAATCCTACATCCCCAAGGTCCTCAAGGCTATCGAGGACCTGGAGACGATCAGGAAACAGGTAAGTTCCGATTTGCTTACTCCGTATGTGTCTGACGCCCCAGTTGCGGAGCAACTCCATCAGCTCCAGCACCGTCAGGCAGCCACACAGCTCTCCATAGTGAGTCTGAGATCCGCACTTTCGCTTCTGCGTGATCGTCGTGACGTACTCCTGTACCACATTACTACCTCCAGTTCGTCGACAGATCAGCAGGCGTACAGCAGGTTCGAGGAAGAGCACAGCGTGGATCAACATCAGGCCGACGCTGAAGCACTTCTCCGCACTTTGCAGAGTACCCAGGAAGCGGATAGTGAACACTACCAGTCTCTTCGTATCCATCGACTCGCTAATTCCATCAGTGAGGATGCTGTTACGGGGACGACAGGAACAGTGACGACGCCCCAGCGACAAGATCGCACAGACCCCCCACAGCTTCAAGCTGTAGATACCCAGTTGGACGCTGTACAGCAGCTAGAACATCTTCAGCTCGCATCCGCACAAACTGCCCCATCGTCGCACAACGTACCGATCCATTTGGAGAAGTTAACGTTGCCGCATTTCGATGGAGATGTCACCAAGTTCCAGCAGTTTTGGTGCACATTCGAGCTAGCTGTTCACAACGACCCCAACATCGACCTCAATATGAAATATCTCTACCTCATGAATTTGCTTAGGGGAGAAGCCCAAGTGGTGTTGCAGGATCTTGAACCAGGACGGAACAATTACCATCACTTAGTGCAAGCATTGAAGAAGCGATACGACTGCCCGAGGAGGACC